CTTTGGAAGCCAATAAAAAGCCTCTTGAAAATAACGGCCTGATATCTTGGCTTACAGGTGGGTAAAGATCACTTTCTGGCAGGTGAAAGATCTTCAAGATATTTTGGGGACCTCAAGAAGAGAAGAATTCACCCAAATCTATAGGCACTATAGGCAAAGTCTAAAGGCAGGCCCGTGGTTTGACTTTTCTGGCTTCAAGAGGCTTAAAAGTTCGATCTGGAGACTCTTCATAAAAACCTTCAGCAAAGCAGATTTAAAAGAGCATATGTGGTTAATTACTATTCTTGTTAAACTTACACAAATAATTAGGCCAAATTTATCAAAACTAGACTTATTTTGCAAATAAATTAGTTTTAATTTGGTTATCTTTGGTAAAAATGAGGGTGATTTTAGAGGGAAAAAATATGTTTCAGTAATATATCTTTGTGGATATTAGATTCTAGTACTGTTCGCTGTCTTTTGAGGTTTTGTTTCTATCCTGAATTCTTCTGGTTTCCTCAAATATTTCACTGATCTCTCCAAACTAATATTTCTAATTTTCCCCTATCGTCTCACTTGGAACTACTGAGAACTAAAACTGTCTTTTCTTGAAGCTCTGCAAACGGCAACTAGACTTAATATAAACTTAAGAGAAATTGCCACAACAGCTCATGCTTAGAAAATCTCCATGCCTGATGTAAGCCTCTAAAAGTTTGCCTGAACACCTGATGACATCATCAGAGACAGTTCAAACTGCAAAAGCAGCTTTGAGCCTGACATCTAGAAATCTTGACTGACTGTCCCCTTGGCTCAGAAACTGATTTATAATTTGTTCCAATCATTTACCTTTGTTTTCCTTTTGTTTCCAGAGATGTCTCTTACTAATTACCAGATTGCTTGCACAATATAGGCCTAACCTTGGGAGCTTACCTGCAAGACCACCTCCTGAAATGAGACATAACTATTTAACTGAACTGACTTATTCTGGTTTAATAAGATATGGAAAAATCTAGTCAGTATTATTTCTAGAATGCGAAGCTTCTTACCTGCACTTTCAAAAGAAGTGCTGAAGGGGAGCAGAGTTTGCCACCCAAAAATATGCCTCTTTGGGATATCAGATATCAATTATTTTAGGTTAGTTAATTTTAAGAAACAGCAGACCTGGAAGAAGCCCTGAAAACCAAGAAGTTATGCATTGTAAAAGGATATTTACATTTGTAAGGGACATCTCCATTTGTAAGGGTGTTTCCCTCACCATACCAGGCCTACCTTCACTATCAAAGAAGATTAGGATTTAAATCTGCATAACAATTTTATCCTTGTTTATTGGGCTGTTCCTGGGAACCTCCCATAACTGAGGCTCCACCTCCAATATCTATTGTCTTTAGCTAAGGTCAAATTTAAGGTGATGGCTTCTGCCATTTTGGCAAGTTACTTGGTTTTCCTGGGTCTCTCCCATGTATACAAGAGGTATACATACATGTCATTAAACTTTTAATGTTTTTCACCTGTTAATCTATATCATGTCAATTTGATTGTTAGACCAGCCAGAAGTACCTAGAAGATGTTAAAGAGAAAACCACACACCCAAAATGGCATCAATGGTGCTAAACGCTCATGATACCAAACCTAAATTGAATACCTGACCTAATTGCAATTTCGACCTCTCTGGAAACATAATCTTAAAAATTCTGGACTTTTCTGGTCAGCACTAATGAAGTAATCTGTCATGTGGGCCCTCTCAATCCCTCAAAGAAAAAGCAATCTCAGTTATAAAGGATGTAAACTATAGCATAGGGAATATAGTCAACAATATTGTAATAACAACGCATGGGTACTAGGCTTAGCAGGGTGTCAGTTTGTAGGGTATATAAATGTCTAATCACTATTTTGTACACATGAAACTAATATATTGTATGTCAACGATAACTGGAAAATAAATTAATTTTTTAAAAAATCATTCTCTTTGTAATAAAGACTAATATAGGAATAAAAAAATTTTAAAAAGGCACTTTACAAGATAAAACCTTTCCCGTTCTCCCCACTTTCTCTCAAAAAAGATGTCTGGGCCCAAAATAATCTTTTTTGTTGTTGTTAATAATCCCTTGGCCTACCCACCCTTCTTCCTATAAAATTTTCTATATTGGACAACCCTTCTGAATGCCCTTCTAGTTGCTAGATAGGATGCTGCCCAAATGATGAACTGCTTAATAAAGCCAACTGGATGTTCAAATTTACTCAGTTGAATTTTGTTTTTCAGCAAGAAATAAGAGGAAATTTTTCCCTCCCCAAAAATAGTTAAGCACAAACTTTTGCCATGAACCAGAACTAATTAAACAGAATGGATTTGATCACTGGAGAATGTCTGACTTTTTCAGGGGAAGATGTAAATAGAATTCCTGACCCATGCCTTTAACACAGACCAGCCAAACTCCTTTTATGCATTATTTACTTGCCAGATAGATCCCTGTCTCTTTAAGTCTCTCAGTGGAAAATGGAACATGGTGACGGCAGAAGGGACATGGGGCACAAGGTATCTTAAATACTGCTATAGCCCCCAGCACCTAGAACACTGACATATAGCAGGTACTCATTAAAATATCTATTCAATGAATCAGACATTTGCTGCACTGTTATAACTGTTATGTGGCAGCAGCAACAAAATCAAAAAGCTATATGCAGAGGAAAGAGACGAATTTTGCGGAAGAAGAGAAGAAAGATTTACCAGAAGCAAAGAGTAGCCTTTGCAGGGAGAAGCAGCTTTTCACCAGGCAGAGGCTGCAGAAAAGCCATGTGGACAGAAGTATGCCCTAACAAAGGTTGGAGCAGATGGCCTGAGATACTTTCCAATTCAAATTCCTACCAAGGTTTTATTTCTTGGGGTTTTGTTGTGCTTCATCATCTCCTTCAAACCTTCAACTTTTATAAAGGGGTACGTATACAGGGGTTGTTGTGCTTCTCTGCCAGGAAATTAGCTAAAAGTAAACAGCAGGTAACAGAAAATTACTGTGGAATGTTTTCTTATTTACCAAGCAGTGAGCCTTTAAGACTCTTAGACATTCTGAGAGAAAAATAATCCGAGTACACCCTCCAAAAATCCACTAGAAACGACCCAGCTTAAAAATAAATTGTTGTTCTTTATTTTTCTTCTTGTTTCCCTGATAAACAATTTTTAAATGGGTTGATGCAAAAACTACTTCATTCTCAACAGAAAAAAGAAAATCTAAACATTTCACAGTCACTTCTTATTCAAGGGAGAAATACTGGGGAAGGGAGGAATAAAGGAATTTAAAGAGAACGGAAACTAAAATTCAGAACAAAAGAAAGCTAAAATAAAAAAACAAAATGAGACTAAGGGAAAAAGAGCAAGTGGAAAAATTTCTAAACCTCTCAGAAAAAGCATAAACTGGCCGCTTCCCATCATATTCTATTTAAAAATGGAAAAGACCACTAATCCAGTCCCAGGATGGACGATGTGAAGCCTTTCAGGCCAGAAGGAAACAAGTCACTAAGTCAGGTATAGAGAATGCTAAGAAGTGGACTGAATCCCACTCTAGCATTTCCTCCCCTCACTGTGCCACCATCTCCCTACCATGGACAAGGCCGACCTCATCCCTACACCCTTAAGCTGAGAGCCAGCCCCGCTTCTCACACTGCTCTCACTGCAAACTGCATCCCAAACACTAAAAGAATAAAATACATTTGAATGCGCTATTAAAATTAAAATAGACCAAACTGGGGTAACAATACCCGCCAGAGAAAATTCTAGCGGCAACCTGGTACACAGAACTCTTCCTTCGGAGATGGGCGTGGGGGTAGGGTGGGGAGAGTATTCTTGAAAATCAAAGTAAAAGCTTGCTTTCACACCCTGCTTATGAGACCAGGAATAAAACTCTGCCTTTGAGATACTTGATTCCTAGCTTTTGAGCCTTCCGTATTCCAGCAGTCCACCCACCTCTTCCAACTAATCTGTGCTTCAGTAATGAAGATCCCTAGATAATTAACCCCTAACAGCTAATAACTCCCTTGGACACCAAGAACAGTAACGATAGTAAAACACCGCCGTTTGCAATAACAAGTTTTCATAAAGGAGTTGCTAATTATGAGCATCTGCATCCCAGAAGGGTTATGTACCTTGCAGCAGCACAAGTTACTTTTCGCCTTTTAATGCCCATTCATTAGGAACTGGTGTGAAAGTGGGGTGGAAGCAAAGGGGGAAGGGCCGTCCTGATAGACTATGAGACCAGGCGATCTATATCCCCAGATTCACCACGCAAGCCAAGGGAAGCATTCTCAAGAAGACATTTTCCAGGGAAGCTGGATTTAAAATGTAATTTATCAGATCAAGTCTCCTATTAGTCTCGTAACAGCCAGGCCCCGGCTTGGGGAGGAGGGGGAGCTCGTGGTGAGAGTTTACCTTAGAAGGCGGCAGCGAACAGACAGGCCTTTCAGAGCCACCCAGGGCTCTGCCGGGAGGCCCTAGGCGGCGCGGGGGGGCTGGAACCGCGCGCGGCTGCGAGCCCCGCGGCGCCACAGGTTCCCCAGCGCGCAGCGGGGCCGGACTCCCACAGGTGGGCGGCGCTCGGCCTGGGGGCTGCAGCGAGAGGATAGGGTGCCGGGGTTGACCCGAGACGCGGGGGAGGGGGCGGCCTTGCCTTAAGGAAGCAAGGCGAGGGGGGAGCTTGGCGTTGTCAGCTGCTTGGTTCTCGCTCCCTCAGCTGGGTGGTTACCGGCTTTTCCCCAAGGCAGGAGGAGCCGGGGCGGGGAGAGGAGCCCCGTGCACCTCCCACCCTCCTCCCAGTGAGCCTTGGCCTGCTCCCCGGGCGCGGTTAAGCCGCACGGCCGCGGGCCACCGGCTGCATGCACCCCGGCACGTAGGAGCCTGCACAACCACAGGCGGGAGGGGGGAGGGCGCGCCCGGGGGCCGAGCAGACCTGGCCCCTCTCCGGCCGTTCGTGCCCCCGGCCTAACTAGATCCCGCTTCGGTTCACCCCCACCCCTCGCCCTTGTAGCCCCCTCACCGGTGTTGGCCTTGATGTTCTCCCGCAAGAAGTGGCCGCTGGAGAGATGCTGGAGGCCAAAGTTCTGGGCGATCCTCTGGCACACAGTGCCCTTCCCCGAACCTGGCGGCCCAAGGATGACCGCGCGCAAGAGTTTGGAAGCCATTGCCATCGCGAGGAGTGGGGCGGCTAAACCGGCAACCCGGACAGCGGGCTCGGAGAAGCCCTGGGAACTTTTGTTTCTTCTGCCCCTTGACACCCTTCGCTCCCGCGGGGACTCGGCGGCCGCCCCTGCAGGGGAAGGAGAGACTTTTGAGACAGCCCCTCCCCTCAGCCCCGCGGCGGGGCGGCTCGAAGGCGGAGTAAGGCGCCACGCTGCACCTCCCCGCCCTCCTCGTCCCCACGCCGCGAGCCTGGAGAAGTCCTGCGCCCCCGCGCCTGGCGTGGTCAGCCTTCGCGGCTCAGAGATCGGCCGGCCAGTCCCACCTCGATCCCTCACTCTATCTCGCTCCCCACGCCGCGTCCTCCTGGGGTCCGGCGGCCCGGCATCCCCACGCTAGTACCCATCAAGAGGGGAAGCCGGATCCGCAGTGACTTAAAGCGCACCTCGCGCTGCCCCACGCAGCGGGCGACCTGGGAGCCGAGCCCCTGCCCGGATCCTCGCACGTGGGCAACGTTTAGTCGGCGCCTCGGCCCCTCCCCAGCGGCTGTCACATCCCTCGGAGTCACAGCGGCCGCTGCTGCCCGCGCGGACCGCCCAGCGCCCACCTCCGCGGAGGGTTGACGGATGCGCTCCCCCGCGGCGACGAGCCTGAGTCCGGCGCCTGTCCACCCAAAGCAGTCACGTAAACACACACCTCGGCTGGGACGCGGCGCTCAGACAGGCTTCCAGCCCAGATCCCGCTGGGCGGTGCCCGCTCCACCCGCCCCCACTCCGGGCCCTGGCCGGCCGCGGGGGACTCGCGCCTTACGTAAGCCGGGTAGACAAGCTTCGCGCGATGCGCGGACCTGTGCCCGCTCGGCTGCCTGCTGCCCGCTGCCCTGCTCCCACTGCGTCTTCCTGTGCTCCCCTAAGACTCAGTGGGGGCTGTGAGAGGCAAAGGGAGATGAAGAAGACGCAAGGGACAGAAATCCTTTTTGGAGGGTCGCTTAGGGACCTTATCTACTACTTAAGGGGAAAAAGACTTGTTGAGCGCCTACTGTGCGTCAAGTTCGGGACTTGATTTCCTTATGCAACGACTGTTCCTGGTATTCACAGATGAGGAAAGGAAGCTTGGAATGAGGCCATTTATTCATTGATTCATTCATTCAACAAACGTTTATTGAGCGCCCACTATGTGCCTGGCGCTGGTTTTGGTTCTTGGCATATATCTGTGAACCGGGGACAGAATCCTGCCCTCGTGGAAGTCACATGGCAGCGAGAGTTTTGAACGCTCCTCTACCCGGACACCAATGCCCAGGCTTCTTAGGAAAGAGGGAAGGAGTGGAAGATTAATCACCCGCGCTCGGGATCTTATAGCCAAATGATTCCAGGACTTCAGGGCACAGCTGTTGGCACTGCACTTAAAACTCACCAAGTCCAAATGGTGCTATCTCCTTTCTCCTTTTCCCTGCATATCCCAATTCATATCATCTTAAATCTGTTCACACTGCACACGTAGCCTTCGTTTCCCACTGGTACTAAAGTGGTAACCGTCTGCCCATAATTCCTCCGCTTCTGCCAGTCCATCCTCCATGTGGCTGGCAGAGATATTGTTAAAATGCAAATCAATTTCTATTATTTCCCCACCTCAGATATTATTGTCACTTCAGGATAAAGTAAAAAATCTTTAGCAGAGGCACACAGGTGCCTTCCATAAACTTTGCATTCCACTAGCTCCCCTTCTCTGTCCGCCCTCCTTCCACAGGCCTCCTGACTGTGGAAAATCCATTGCAGAGTTCTGAGTGCCGCCACCCCTGGCTCACAGATGGAAGGGACGGTGTGGAGAAAAGCCTCCTCTGGATTTCTGGCTGCTGTGAATTGGGGGTCTGAGGGTGGGGGAAAGAGCCTGGCACATAGCCCTTGTCCTCCACTGCCTGCACACACACAGACAGTGTCTAGTCTCTGGCTATCTAGGAGCATGGCTGGGCCACGAATGCCGGGCAGCATTTGTTCCGTAGGCTCATTCCCCTGTCAAAATACCTGAGCTGTAGACCTCAGGAGGTTGTTACACTGAGGCCCTTCAGCCCTTCACCTGGGAACAAAGACAAGAGCTTGGGCTGGAAGGTGGCTTAAATCTCTTCCTCTTCTTTCTGCTACATGCCTTGTAATATATAGCAGATACTTTGTGCTGGTTCTCAAACCTGAAAATGCCTCAGAATCACTCCAAGGGTTTATTAAAACATGTTGAGTGCCACCCTCCACAATTTCTGATTCTGTGGGTCTGAGGTGAGCATTTCTAACAAGTTCCCAGGTAATGCTGAGGCTGCTGATCTAGAGACCACACTTTGAAAACCACTGCTCTAGTGAAATAAGCATCGAGACACAGGAGATGTGTGCTCTCCTGTTTCCTCTGCCTGCTGTGGGATCTTAGGCCCTAACCTCTCCCCTTTTAAAATGAGATTGGATTTAGTACATCCCCAAAGTCCCTTTGTATCTACCAAGAAGTGATTCCCTAAGTTCCCAGAAGAAATACAGCTTCTAGCCTCCACAAAACCTAAATAAACTATATTACCCAGTTCTTTAGCCTACTTTTGAAATATCTTTACCAACAGCATCTTATAGTATCTTATAGTATCATGAAGGAGAATTGGCCACTCACACGGTCCTTTGTGCTTTAGGAGCTTAGGAGCTTATATTATGAAACAGAAAAAGGAGTTGTGACATGCATAAACTCATTAGAGAAACTCACTCAAGAATGGAACCTAGAATTTCACAAAACAGCATGCAAGGGATGTTCCCTGTGCACGGCCACATTAGGGTCCCACAGCTCACTGCTGATTGGAAGCAGTAGGACTGGAAGAAATGTGTTTTGGAGTCAAACGCCTGGAATCAAATGGCAACAATACCATTCACTAAGTCTGCGAGCCTCTTGACCTCTGCTACCCTTAGTTTGACTATCTATAAAAGGGAGATAATACTTATCTCACAGGCTTGTGGTGAGGCTGAAATAAGAAAATGCGTACAAAGGATTTACCACAGTACTGGACATATAATAAGTATTTCCTCATGAACATCGTCATCATTATTAAACATGGGACAATTATTTAGTCTCTCTGATCTCAGTTCCCAAATCGTGAGGAATAAATGAGCTAATGTGACAAAGAAACTAGCAGGCTCCCTGGACCTTGGTAGATACTCCGTAAATGGTAGCTATCTTATCACATACACACATGTAATCTACTCTTTCCTATTTTCTTAGCCTAGGTTTTTAAACCCATTTATAATATTTTTCGCAGTCTACAAAAGAATATACATCTATGTGTTTGTCTCCCGTGTAGACAAACTGTAAACTTTGAGGGCAAAGGCCAAATTTTATTCATTTTTCTATTCTCAAAAATATTTGGCACTTTGCCTGTAATAAGTACTCTGTAATGGTTGGCAAGTCTCCTTTCCAACATACTTAACATCAAGCCATTTTGCATCTCTGCAACTTCACTAGATGGTAATACAAAATCTACATTTGATCACATTTTACACGTTCTTTCATCAGATTCTCACAAGTTTGCAAAGAAGGTAATGTTCTCGTTCCTATTTTACAGATGAGAAAAAGAAGGTTCTGAAAGGTCCGATGAACTGCCCAAGGTCACAGAGTTAGTCGATAGTGCAGCATGAACGCAAACCCAGATTTTCTCATTCCCAGCATAGCACTCTTGTTTATTAAACTTCAGCCATTTCCATACTACTTTCACAATTTGTCATAACCTTGCCTCACTTCGGCTGTTATCTGCTTATCATGTTTCTTAATATTGATTCAATTTGTTTAAATAATTTATTTGAAAAAAAAACTATATATAACTCACTAACCATAAATAAAAAGATACACTAAAATAAGTACAAGAAAAATAAGGTTACCATATTCCAGCTGGTAACACGTTGAGTTTCTGAGTTTAATCTTTGTTTAAAACAAAAAGTAAGGGGGTTGTTTACCGAGTGTTAGAGAGGTGTTTAAGACATATGGCATCTAGGTAAAACTTTCTTTTCATCTGTAATTGCACAGCTCAAAATTAAATTAGAAAGGAAATACTTTTTAATATTCAGTTTAATATTATTAAAATCATCTCCATTACCACATCAAATTATCTCTTGCATCATCAGTGATACAAGTCGCATGCTCTAATGTACCTTGAATGTAATATACCTTTGAAATGTAATTTAACTCAGCAGCATTTTTTAATGTTGTGATCACCCCAACCATAGGTCATAGACATGATACTGACCCCACCTCAAATTAAACCCCCATTCTTCTAGCTATTACCTCTTGGTCATTGTCTTTCTATTGTAATTTTAGAATTACTTCTGCTATATTTGATGGAAACTGTAGGATCTTTGAACACAGTGGCTTCATCTTTTTCATCATGGTCCCTCCTCATCTAGTTATAATAGAGTCTAGACATGGAGAGCAAATATTACTGAATGACTGACTCACTGCTGAATGAGTGAGTGGAAAAGTTATTTTTCTCTTTGTTTTCTGTGAAGCTTCTCTCAATAGACAGAAGAAGGGCTAATGACTTGGACGTGCCAAGATCCAGAAAAGAAAGCTGGAAAATAATAGGAAGAAGAAACAAGATATCAGTCCCATGTGCCTGGCTCTTTTCTCCCTGTAGCCATTCATTAAATACTCAAGAAGCCAAAGGTTGCATTGAGAGAATAACAAATGACATTATTTGAGAAAATAGGGTGTTCTTACAAGTGAAAGAAACATCTTATCCCCAAATTTACTAACCCACATGACTATTAACCTAAAGCATCTTAATAGTTATTGCAAAGAGGCAGCAGCATTTATTTTACAAGCCTGCTTTCTCAGACAGAAAAGAAGAGAAAGAAGCCCCCAAACAGTTAAAGAACTGGAGGGAATGAAATCAACATTCTTTGTATTTACCTGGCAAGACCCATTATTCTCCATGAGCAACAGACTATTTACAAATCAGTCCTAGAATAACAGTCTATGATAGAGGTGCTCTCTCGGGAGATGAAGATATCGAACTCCCACTCTTCGTCTTTTCACTGGAAAACACTAGAAAACAAAATAACAATGTGTTATGCTTTACCTTCAAATATAATGATAGAATAATGATATCTTGCTCTGAACTTTGCTCTGATCTATACATCTGATAGTGCGGATGGACAAGATTGTGTCATTCTCACCCTTCACCTCACCTTTCTAACCACGATCAACAACAGAATTCCTTTTAGAAGTTACCTTGGGGTTAGTAGGCACGTCTGGAGATCAGATGCCTTTGGGTGTGTCTTTCCTTTGTGCAAAGTTACCTGCCAGTGGAAGTGCAACTTTCTTCCTGCTCCAACTGGATGAAGGAACTAAAATTGGATGTTGAGTTTATTCTACTCAAGTCTAGCTCATCAAGTCTGAGTGAGTAAAGGGAATCCCACTTATGGAGGCCTTCTAAGTTTGGTCTTCTGATAAGAACAGTAAAGATTATAATTAACATTTATCGAGTGTCTACTATGTGCCAGACCAGTGTACTTGCTTGCTCTCTCTCTCTCTCTCCCCTCCTCTTTGTCTTTCCTCTCTTGCTCTCCTCTC